AAAGATTCATAATAATGGTTCTAAGTACGATGCGCTTTGACTATGCTCAGCACTGAAGAAATATTTGATGTATAGGCAAGCACACATACAACACAGCAGAGAAAAAAGTAAATTCATTAAATTTCCACTGCAATAATTAAATTTTTCCACTCAAAAATATCTCTTAGAATTCAAAAATGAGTCAGTTGTTGATTGGTAACTTCTGAAATTATTTTGTGCTGAATGTACTGCTACAATACAATTCATTCTCAAAATTACAATAGTAATTAGTATTTTGTATTTTTGAGCTAATGCAATATTATACTGAAATGGAAAATGGAAAATGGAAAATGTTAGCTGGAAAAGCTATTATTGCTCACGCAATTACTGCAAATTCATATTTGGAATATGTGAAAAAATATATAAGCCTTTGTTTTTGTTTAGCTTATCTTTTATTAATTAATTCAATTTGACAAGAAATTTTGCTTGAGTGAATTTTCTGATGAATTAAAAAGGGCACAAATAAACTGAAATTAATAACGAAAATTGCAAACGAAATAAAAGTAAGTAATGTGATTTTGTTTTACTGATCGAAAAATCACTTTTTCTTTTAATGTAATTAATAATAATTTTTGCACATTAATTTTCAGTGCACAGAAGTTTTAAGTAATGACCTTGTGAACTTTTTGTATTCATCTTCAAAGTTCCTAAGACTGCAAGTTGCTTCCTTCAGAATCAAACGTACACTCTAACCAACAGCACATTTTAGTACTAAATATTTCGACTTTTTAAAATAGCTTTTCAAGTATCTGTAAAGGGCTGTTGGCTTGGATCACATAATCTGAATTTTAGATGTAGAATTGAGATGAACACATTTAAAGCACAGTGTCATTGTGGTGTTTTGATTCTCATCTCATTTTTGTTCAATTCATGGATTCTATTTGTAGCTTCTATGAATAGTTATGAAGAGTGTGATATTATTGCCGATTATGAATTCATTTATACGGTCAGATTTCCATTTTTTCTTCGAAACTCAGATTTCACTCATTTTAATTATGTCATATTATGTTTAATTTAAAAGCACTCTTTCTAAGATTGCCATTAATTATTTAATTTAAATTAATTTCGGATTCTTTGATATCTTTTAAAAATACACAAAGTAGGTTTTCCAAGTACTAATACAAGTATTTATATTGTTGATAATTGATTTTAGCTATCAATCGAGAGTTGACATATCAACTTTATCAGTTCTAATTATTTAATAATCATACTGAACTGAAAAAGTTAGCTCAAAATAGTTTCGAGTAAACAGATAAATTTTAGACAGAATTGATTCTGTGAAATTCTCTTATTTTCTTCTGTAGAATCGAAATGAAAGAATTGCTTTCAGTAGCCAACTTTTATAGGTGATGAATATGGTTGAGACAATATTTTGCGTTGGCCTGCCATCTTGCATAATCCTTTTATCAAATTTATTTGTAATTATTCGTCTTCGGTCATATTTAAAGCAAATTCCGTCCTCTCCAACAGTATCCTTCAACACTGCATCCCTCGTTGTTCACAGTGAATCAGCGCCAGTAAAAAGTTGCAAAAAGTTTGCCTCCACTCTTGAAAATGTTACTTAATCTATTAATGATTACATTCGAAATTAAGATTTATTGACACAGATGAAAGCTCAATTCGCATTTTTAATCTTACAGAATTTGAGGCATTTCATTCATTAAATTGAATTTACTGTCTACTTTTATTATTATTTAAAGTTTGTAATTCAGGACAAGTTTAGCGAGACTCGCCCAAAGTCTATCAATAAATGATAAACCAATTCGAAAAAGGCAACATAAGAGTCTACGATATGCTGACCTTCGATTAACCCGAAGTTTATTAGTAGTCACGTGGATATTTGTTGCTCTAAATTTGCCAAATTATGCTTATCGAATGGTTATTCAATTCACTTCGCTTGATCTCCAAGTTTGATTTCAAAAAATTTGAAAAGTTAAAGTAACGAACTCATGAAGAGCAAATATTTTTCTAATATTTATAACGTTAATGAATTTCTAAAAAAGTAAGTTCACGTTTTAGACACCGGCAATGCGGCGTATCAGCTTATTGGTTCATACATTATTATATACTCATCATGCGTTCCTTTTTTATTTTTATATATTCAACAGCCCTCAAATGAAGAAACGCTTATTGCCAACTGCACTCAAACTTTTGGAGTGTTACTGTTTTAAGACACTCGAGAATGGATCATACTGATATGATCCTTTGAACGATCAATTTCTTCAGGCGTAATCGATCTACTGATTTCCACGCAGAAACTACCATTATTTATAATTGATCTTATATAATGACTGAATTGAATCAAATTATTCTTCTAGCAAAACAGTCCGTTTCTCTCGTAACTTTTACTGCTTTGGCGCTAATTTCAATTTATCTTTCATTCTGTGATGTTTTTAAAAAAACGCAAAAAAAAAGAAAAGTAGAAAAAATATGGAAATTTGTTATCTGGTAACTACTAATTTCAAGCTTTTTCCAAATCATAAAAAAGTTTGATCAATCACTCTGAGATGTAAGTACTATCTAGAATGGCATATCTGCATTTTAATTATTAATTATTCATAGTTATGTAAGCTGATCTCAAACATATCCTCTTGGCTACAAATTATGTTCGATATTTTTAATTAGTAACTTTTGCGCATATTGAAATTCTGACTTCAAAAGCTTCAATCCAAATATATCGTATATTACAACAAGAATTGCTGTTATATTACTGCTTCATAAAACTAGTGATACTACAGAGATGTGTATTGAAGTTTGAAGAAACAATGTGAGTACGCAAGGAATATATATTACCTTTTTCAAAAGGATGAAATTTTCAAGATGGAAAAAGTAATAAATACTTTGGTTTGGATTATACAGCATATATTCAGTTTCTTACACGTATTATTACTTCATTGGAAAGACTTGACTTTCCATTTTAGAGAAATTTGATTATTCACTGCAATCAAAAATATTAACAATAAATTAATAAGAGATTGTAAGAGAAAAGCACAAATGCATGAAAAAGCAAAATGACCTTTACCAAACAGTCTGTTACTAATCATGAAATTTGAGTTAAAATTATAACCATCCTGAAACAAAATTAAGGAAATATGATTAGCAGTAAGAAATCAACAACGAGATCTCATTATCACCAAAGAAATCAAATCAAACTGCAATTCTTCAATTATGACTTGGAGAAAAATTTGTAGCAGTGATCAGAATGGCTACCAACAGATGTAATTCTACAAAATTTGTGTAAATTCTCCATATAAATGTCATGTAATTGTGAGTCAAATTGTGTGTCAAAAACACGAATTAATGAAAGTAATTACATGCATTTTTATAACAAAATGAACAGCAGATAAAGTTCATCAAAGCGGAAAATAAAGAATTGAGCATCTTAGCCTACAGTTTAAAACTATTGAAAACGTCGTTTACATCGTTTGTTAATACAGTAGTGAGGTAATGAGCTTAAGTAATATTTCAGATTAAATATTTGAGCAGTAACCTGTGTTACTATAAGAGATTAACATTACAAGCTGAATTACTAATATTAGTTATCACCAATGAAAACAATCAAAAAGTTTCAAATGAAAGTGAAAAATGCTACTTTTTCAAAATCACTCTCAGAGATATTGACATAAAATGCAATTTAAAGATATATAAACTGACAAGAAGAGTAGCTGACTAAAAGGCAGCTCAATTAATGGTAAGAAATTATTATGAAAAAATTTAATAACATACTCTAAACTCTGCTGACACGTGCTGATCTAATATACATTGCTGAAACGTCATTTTCATCAGGGGATTGCGTTCTTGGAGAAGAATCTGAGCTGCTCGTTGAGGATAACGATCTTGGGCAAGGCTCTGGAAGTTCTGGTGTTTGCTGTTTTAATCTTTCAGTAGACGAAAATTTTCCATTGTGCATTTTTTTTACCGGTACTTCTGCAATTGAATAATTTTTCATTTTCTAGTTCAGATTTCAGGGACTTTTTTTGCGGGATAATATTTAAATAAGTGATAATGTATAAATAACGTAAAAGTAGTTTCATTTTATAAATCCGATCATTTAATGAAAAATTTAAGTCACCGAAAGAACCGTTTGATATGACAGCACCATTATCAAATCTCTCACCATAATCTGAAGAACTTTTAAATCATTTATGGCAATCGACTAGGGACCGAAAAATAGTTCATAATTGAAATCATAAAAATAAAGCAGAAATTACGTAGAATTTCGCATAGGTCCATTTTTTTCGACACTTAAACTAACCTCGAGTTACTGAATCGGTATCGCTTGCATTACTACTCACTGACCTCCGATTACTGGCTTCCAACTCAGCAAGACTAGGCTGGAATGCGATTTTTTTGCAAGTCTGACAGAGCTGCTAATATATCTTTATGAACAAATTATAGATTTCTCAAATTATCTTAAGACTACAAGCGCAACTGTAAAAAAAGCTTTATTGAAAATAGAGCTGTTAATTAGCATGAAGTAGTCTAATAGAACTTCATACCGGCGGCTTTGGGCGATCTTTACGCAGTGAGCGTAGAATCGATGGACGGCCTTGTTTTTTTGTCGAAGGATTATCTGAAAAAAAAGTGAACAATAATAGAAGTTTTTCTAAGAAAACTGCTAACTTCCTGCAATGGCCTATAACTATAACTTTGCTTTAAATAAAATTAGTTTCATGTTCGGTAGGACAAAAATTCTATACATATATATATAATCAATCAATTAATTATAATCATATAGACATTGTATATACATAGAATGTCAAAACTGACCACTTTTATCAAATCGAATACTCCCACTTCGTATACTTTCTGCTTTACTCAAGTTTGAATTGAAGGATAGTTCAAAATTTGAATCAGTTCTTCCTGATGAAGAAGTTGGAGGATATGGAGCATCTTCCTACATAAATTTAAGCATTAATAAAGAGCCAAAACCACCAGCTACAAATATCTTTTGAAAATATTTCTTTACGACTGCTTTCATTCCTTTTATTCATTATTAAACTTGCAGTACATCAAAATTTCAATATGATTTAGCACTGACTCTTAAGCAATACGCAAGTGAAAACCTGATAAGCTGGACAACCACGTAACGCTTCTAATTCTGGCATAAGTTCCGCAAAACTTGGGCGTTCTTCTGAGTGATAAATCCATGCACGTTCCACAATTGCAAATCTGCAATTAATAGTTTATAGGTAAATCAAAAACAAAATAATAACACAAAAAAACTTACATTTCATCTGGGCAGTACTGAGGTTTTTCAGGCTTTCCTCCACTTTTCACGAATGACATCACCTAAATTAGACAAAAAATATTACAAATTTATAAAATTTAATCAAATGAATTATGTCAAATTGCATTTTACAAAGAAATAATTGCATAAATTTTTAAATATTTTCATCAATCATTACTAATGTCGAAATGGTCAAAATTTTCTCTCATTTTGTTTTCTAATTTATCAAATCAGATGTTAAAAACTAAGCTTTATTTGTTGTTTATTTAAGTGCATCAGGACAATTTTATTTATCTTTTTAATGAAAAAAATTTCTAAAATTAAAAAGAAGAAACTGATTTATATATTAAGTCATTAAATCAAAATTTTAACTGAAGATGATTTTATATGTTTAATCATCAAACTACGCTGTATTTTGGCAAATGCATACAGCAAATCCTGAACCTGAACATTATTTTTGCCAGCAAATGGTTGTTGTCCGAGAGTTAATATCTCCCAGAGCAATATACCAAAAGACCACACGTCACTCTTCGATGTGAAAATGCCATCACTGATAGATTCTGGTGATAACCACCGCAATGGTAAAAAATCGTCCCCATGCACACGATAGTAATCATTGGTATAAATATCACGGGCAAGCCCAAAATCAGCTACAGAAACTTTAAGTAATTCACTTACTTATTAATTGTCTCAATTTTTTTCAAACAAATTTCACACAATTCTTGCTTTTTTATTGAATACTTTAACAAATTAAAACGAATTTTAAATTCACCTATTTTCGTAATGCGTGTGTTTGCATTTCTTGATGAAATAAGGCAATTTCTAGCGGCTAGATCACGATGTACACGTTTTTTAGCTTCTAAATATGTGGCCCCACGCCCTACATCAACCATCATTCCAATAAGTTCGTACAACGAAAGTTGTGACGGAAGCCAATCAGATGGGCGGCTAAAAAATTTGAAAAAAAAACAAAAAATATGCATAATTAAAGAAACATTTTTTAATAAAATCTTCCTATGAATGAGAAAAAATGCTTAAAACCTTGAACGAAGAAATCCAAGCAGATCACCTCCTTCCATCAGTTCGATTATTAGAAAATATGGCTCAGTATCTAATGATACACCCAGTAATTTTACAATATTGGGATGATCAAAACTGCTGTAAAGGTGTATGATTAATATCGAGAAAGTTTCGTAGCATCAATTTAAATTTTAATTCACTTTTGATAAAAATAAGAATTTTGAAAGACATACTTCATCAGACTTGCTTCTTGAAAGAATTTCATCCGATCAGATTCCGAAAATCCACTTTTAAGCGTCTTAAACATGTACTACTTAATTCTACCACAATGATAATATGACTAAAAATATATTTGTCTGCAATGAATTAAAATACAGAAGTATTCTACACTATATGTCATCAAAGACATCTGCAAAGTTTTCAAAACTTTCCAGCAATAAAAACCGACTTTAACAGCAACTCGAACTGCTTTTGCAGGAGACTGAGGTAATCCACATGCAACTCCTTCATAAACTTCTCCGAATCCACCTTTGCCGATAGTGCGTGAAAGGCTGACGCTATTTTTTGGAACTCGAGGAATTGCTTGAAGTTTAAATTTATTAAATTTGGAATCTGTTACTTCACAGAAGATTTTCAGTGGATTCAATTTTACGCGTTTACATTTACCCAAAGATATTTTTTATTTTTTAAAATGAAGTTGAAATTATAGCAAATTTTTATCTAAAATTAAAAAAAAATCTTTTTCAGTAAAAGAAAATAAAGTGAAAATAAGTTTACATGAGCATACTTTTCAGATCGTTAATGACTCGTGACGGTAAAGTGTTTCTATTGAACGAACTTGTGTAACCATGCAAGCTGATTTCTTGTGGCCTAACTTTACATCGCTTTCTATCATTGCGTTGATAATATACTTGAAAAAGATATTTAGAATTCATTAAAATTTTTAGAATATACGTTTGAAAATCACTTATTTGTAAAAGCTCAATATTTTAATTTAGACAATCAAAATTCTCTTGCTTACCAAACAATACAGCAATAACACCAGTGAGCAAAAAAATAGCAATTAATAATGTTATAATTACAACCCATAATGACTGAGTCGTTGATTCTCCCATGGCATCTGAAAATTCTTTTTTAATTCTCAATAAAAATTATATGACCAAGAAGTATTTAAATATAATTTCGTGCAAAAACATATTACTGCCCAAAATAAAAACTCCTCAAAGAATTTAATTTCAAATAGAAACCTCACCATGAACTTTTGAGTAAGCGTAAGCCCCAAAACCTTCAGAATTTGCAGCTCGAACTCGAAACTCAGCAAGTTCGGGAGAAAAATTGATTCGTGACGGTTTCCACCATAAACAGTCACCTGCCAACCCTCGTTCTGCGATTTCCCACTCCGCATCCTTGTTTGGCCTATAGAATTTAGTTCTTAATTCAGAACTGAACAGAAATCTGTATCAAATCTTTTATCGACATGCCAGAAATAATTCTGCGAAATTTTATCTTGGCTAGAAATAAACAATATAATTTTAAATTGAAAGAATTCCAGACCTGAATTCAAGGGCATATGAAGTTACAGATGAGCCGCCATCATTCAACGGTTTATCCCAGCGTACAATCCATTCATCATACTCTTGAACAAGACGTATATGACTTGGTGCTAATGGTGTGCCTGCTGGAAAACGAAACTTTCTTACTTCTTTCGGGTCGACATTTGACTTATCTATTGATTTTAATATCTTCCTCCTAATTTTTTTGACGAAGACTTTAAATAAAAGTTTCACTCACTTCACATTTTGTCAAGTAAAATTTTTTAATGTGAATTATAATAGGCTTTACGTTTTGTTCGAAACTGCTGCGAAACATGAAAAAATGTTTCGTTATATGAGAAAGTATGATTTGCATAGTGATGAGTGTTCACGTATTTTGCTGCAAAACGATAGTCATAAGTAGTGGCTGAGTGCAAAGCACGTACAACTATTGCTACTGACTTGATCGATCCTTCAAAAGTTGCATTCAGCGGTGATTTCCATAAAGCATTTTCTCCAACCTAGAAAAGTTATTAAATTTCGATTCTGTTTCTTCTCTGTTTTCCTTCGAAATAACATATGCACAGAAGTATTGAAAAAAACACACATTTAATAACATACAAACTGCACGTCAATAATGAAAACGGAAAATGATATTGTTATATCGTTTAGATTATAATGATAACATTTATTATTTTATATTCTTCTTAAGTAGATAACGTTTTTTCTACAGACACTATGGAATTAATAGCACTCATGATAACAATATTACAGTTTAATTGTTAATACAATCGGAATTTTAAGAAACTGTGATGAAATTAAAGTAACGAAATAGTAATCTCACCATACGATACTGAAAAGATACATATTTCGGTTTTGATTCAGGATCTAAGGAATTCCATCTTAGCACCACACTGCTACCAGTAATATTCTCGGGACGTAAAGTTCCAGCAACGTCTTTCGTACGAACAGATGCTTCTACAGAATTACCTTCGGCATCATCTGGGAACTGCCTGTTTAGATGACTGACATGAATTGCGCGGACCTGAAACAAAAATACGAAAACTTCAGTTTTTCTTCATAAATTAATTATTAAAAGAATCAGTTCGATTCCTTCATGAAATGCCACTTTCCATTATTATGCATTAACACATCTGTATCTTCTTTTTCTAACAAGTTAATAAAAAATGCGGAATATTTATGAGGCATAGTATGAAAATTTTTAATCTGGAAAAATAAAAAGGATATGAAGTATCAAAATATTTTTAGATGCATAAATGAAAATTCTTTTCCTGCGATACATATTTTTGTAAATTTATCCTTTCATGCATCTATACATGTTATAAATTGGCCCTTCCAGCTCTTACCCAAAATTTATAATCAGTAGAAGGTCGAAGGTTAGAAATCTTTGCAGAGCAAGGATCACTCAAGCAGGAAACCACATCCGTAGCTATAGAAGCATAATGCGTTCCTTCGAACTGTTGCGCAGCAATTGCTGATGGCAGCGACTGCGTTGAACTTGTTTGACTTATCTAAAAACCAACTGAACTTTTCTCTGTAATTATTTCTCCGAACAAATTACTGCGCAGGCATTAATTAACTTGAATTGTTTGATAGCTGCAAAGTGAAAGTTCATAAATAAAATGATATAAGTTTGATTAATTTTCGTAATTAATTCTCAAGATCATAATTAGTGACAGGGAAACATTCATAGTGTGCAAAAATTTTACTAATATCAAAATGTGCCATAAATTATATTACACACAACATTTTTGCTTACAAATTCCCGAAACGATAGAACCATCAAATTCCCAAAATGATAGAATTTGTCAAGATATTTGTCAAACGTTGTCAAAAAACTGTTGACTTCAGTTTTTTTGATGAACAAAAATTGTGCACATACTATATATTTAATTTCAGGAATTGGTGCATTTGGTTTTTCGGGTAATTTCCAGTAAAGCAATACGATGTCCGGTGTTAACGCAAACAAAGTCGGATACTGTGGAGGTGATGGAAAGCCATAACCTGTTCGAAGCATTTGCGTTGCACTAGCTTCTGATATTTGAGTATACTGATTAAACCATGAAACTGATACCTCATAACTGAAATATTTATAACTGACAAATAAATTTTTCATCCACATATTTAGTTATATTTTGTCGGTTTTGTGTTTTATGAATTAACTGTTATTTTCATTCACACTTTCTTTAATAACATAATTAACATAAATTTGAGGCATATATGTTCGTCTTACTCTGTTTCCTTGTCCAAAACACCATTCTCAATGTGAAGTACATTGCTAATACTGTGAATATTTCTTATTTTATCTGATCCTTTTCGTTGAAAATGAATTTCATACTGCGTTGCAGGCAATGATACACCCTAAATGCAAATAATATCATTATTAAATTGTCCAACATTAAAAATAAAGGAAAGCAAAAGTAGTATATAAAATTGTGAAAGGATACCGGGCAAATATCAAGTGATTTAGGTTCATTAATTGAGACTAATGCACCACTTCGCTCTTCATTACGCACAGTAAATTTAATTTCCGAAGCCGGTGGCAAAGCAAAACATGAACGTTCTACAAAACTTGTTGTCAGGAAAGTGAACACAGCAAAGAATAACGAAAATGCAAATATTAAAATTAGGTGGAATAAGACTTGAATCAATGGATTAGTATACAAATATACTCGACTGTAATTAATCAGCTTTAGATTAGATCAAAATTTCACATCAAAGATTTTTTTTGAGGGACATGCAGCCTCATTCTTATCAAAATTTCATATAAAAAAAGATGGTTTAAAAACTGACGTACCGGGAAAAGGTTGTGATGACTGAGTAGCAACAAGAATTTGTTTCAGAGGTGAGCCATTAATGGCAATTGGTGTCGCTGTTGCTGAGCCTAATTCGTACACAATCAGCACGGACGAAGTAGCAAATATATACAACTTATCAGCAATAGCAAAGGAAAGTATCGACTTCAGTCCTTTCTCTGTAAATTATTTTTATTATTACCACCAAACATTCTATCATTTACTTATTTTATCTTATCGTTTCAAGAAGTTAACAAAAAACAAACTATTTTTTTTTCAAATTTCATTCTTTCGATTAATTTTAAAAAAGCTAAATTAGCTATTAAGCGTTTACCTCCAAATTTTTCCCAAGCAAATTCAATCTCTTCACATTTTAAAGACGTCAAATCGACTCGCATCATACCATTCCATGTGAGTACATAAATAGCTGGTAATGAAGCTAAATTCCATGCAAAATCAGCGGTCATCCAAGACACTGTTTCTGATTTCAAACATTCAAATCTAACAAAATAACAAGATTCATTAAACATAAATAATATAGTTATGATTATAGATTGATTCTTTTAAAACGTGAAAGTTTGGCGAAAATTTTTGATTCCAAAAAATTGGACTAATATAAAGGATATGCTAACCTGAGAGCCATATTTTCTTCGATGCCCGTATTCAAATTCAGTGAAAGCAATGAACCATTCTTAGTAAGTAAGAAAGCTGTGCTAGAATTGATGAAAAATAAAGTACTCCAAGTTCCACTGAATAAATAGTGACAATAAAATAGAAAAATAATGGAAAGACTCGGGAAATTATGCTCGCTAGTTATTATTATTATTATTATTATTATTACTTATTATCTATTACTGTTATTATTCATTATTATAATCATTATAGACCTTGAGAATGGATCGAAAAGTAACTGCTTTGCATCACCGGCCCCTGATGAAAGATTCATTATCCGTCGAGGATTTATCACAGAAAGACTCTGCAATTATGATTTCATCATATATTTGGATGCTAAGAAGTAATAATTAGCGGTTCTTCAATGTACAATATAACAATACGAAAAGAATTTGACATCAATTTATATAAATTTTTAGATTAATGAAACTGCTGTTAACTTGATTCTTGAACATCTTATTCAGCAACTCAAACTCCTATGAATTAACAAAATTGATAGAATAAATACTTGAAGAGCATTAAGAGGCAACTGCATGACATGAGCTGATGATACAAATATTAAACGATTAGCTACCCAATCAGATGTCATCGCATCAACTTTACCAATGTCACCACCTATTGATATCTGAAAATCCTCTCATGCAAATTAGAACGAATCTCACTTTCATCTTTCAATTTAGTACTGCAAAGTTGCTGCATCATTTTTACATTGTACACAAACCTTATGTATAATATTTTCTACATTATTAGGATCGATATGGAACAAATAAGTCTGTGTAGAATCAGAATCTTTCCTGATTGAATATAAATCATTGCCAATGAATGCTAGTGACTGTTCACTGATCTGAAAACAACAAACTTAATGAAAATCTTATGGTAACTTTTGAATACATATTTTAGAAGACTAACAGCAGGTGCTGAGGAAGACTGCCTTTTTGCACGGGCCTGCAGCTGTGTTGTAGGTAACCAATTTGAGATTGAAATTACATTGTTGTTGGAATTTATTGCAAATAATCGTACAAATGGTCGAATTTCTGAAAATTATTTTTCACGCAATCTTAACTAAATACAAAAATGTTGCAAAAATTTTGCCTCCAAATGAAAGGTAACAATTATCATAAATCTTAGAGTGTTTTCAAAACCTTGTGAACTGCAAAAAAATTTTCATGTCCAAGTATAAATTAAATAATTTATAATAAAATATGAAAAGTTTCAATTTCCAAAAATTGTAATAAACTGTAGCCAAATTATTTGCTTGCTGAATACGGGATTTGGAATGATTACTACAACTTATAAACTGAAAAATGGTGCAGTCGTTTGTAGTTGAATAATACCACTGCTATCGATTGTAACAACATCTGAATATGCTTCAAGCGTGGGTTCGTTGTGGGCGGCTACAGCGCAACTAACACTGCCAGATTTCACACTAAAAGAGTAAAAGCGTGTAGTTGACGGAACTTCCGCGACTGGCTCCTTCATGCCATCGATTGTGCAATTAATCAAATAACCCAATGCATCACCATTCCATTCTGTTGGTTCATCCCAGAATAAATCCATCAGTGCTCGAGCACCATCCACTGTTTTCTATAGTTCTCATAAGTTTAATGAAAAGTTTTAATTTGCTTGTTTCTTACCAAAAAGATTAAATAGTTGCTAAACGAGTCAGATTACTGACTGATCAAAAAAACTTCCACAAAAAAAAACTAACAACGTTTACTCTTCGAATTTAAATTTGGAAGATCCTCCACAAAATGAATTATTAAACTTGAAATTAATAATTATTATATCAAGAAAAATGATGAATTAAATGTTTTGAAAATGTTGTCAAAAGTAATACTGATCCTATAATTATTATGCTAGTAATATTCAATCTGTAAAATAAATGAAAACCTAGAAGTTGATCTAGGATTTGATACAGGAAAATTATTAAATTTGATGTGACAGAAAATTAGACGACTACCTGTTGTGTGGCATAAATAGTAAGATTTGTTGGAGGAGCTGGTGGTTTTGTTGGAGCAATTAGGCCTGATTCATTTATCCACGCCATGTCCCATGCAGTGAAAGCTTCAACTTCTGCGTCATATTTCTGTCTAGAAGGCCATTGATGTAAAAGTGTTTCACTGATTCTATAATTTTCTGATAACGAATAATCAACGTTACGATCCGCACCACGTTTTTCCTTGTATAAAGTTATCTACAATTTCTCACATTCAATTTTAGTACATAAAAAATACAAAAAACTGCTTAACGAAAAAAATACAAAAATTTACAGATATTTATTATAAACATCTAGTTTTTAGCTTCCAATTTTCGATAATCAACTTAGATTTGTACGGTGTATCAGTATCATGGATATTTAAATTTAATATCGCAATAATGTACAGCTATTTTAGTTCCACCACAACTTCTACTTTTCGAATACGTAGAGACCAAAACAGTTTTCAAACATTTACAACTTTTTCAGAAGCTTTATCAACAGAAGTCAATAACAAACTTTGAAGATAATTTTTCCTTTTCCAAAAGTTGATTCAGTGCTCCATGTCAGCGTATTTCTGCCACTAGAATCATCGGCTGTCAAGTTGCGAACAAAACTAATTGGCTTGACGTGCTCCAAGTGTGATATCGGCGCAAGAAGTACATTTTTCAGCATTAAATTAATGTTCATCGAGCCAAGCTTTTTGTCACAAACACCAACCTCGCCTTCTTCTGTGATGAACACCAATTTCTCTCTTACAATAATTAGTTGCCGTAATCTAAATGAGAGCCACTGTATACGCTAATTTTGCACAGTAAATTATTTGCTTAGCTTTTAAGACGTTACTTCATATTACTTTCTCCCTCGAAATATTACTCTCCTACTAATTATTCTACAACTGAGATTGAGAACAGCTTAATTTATATAATAATATATCTATTATTATATAAATTTATATTAGCAAGACAAAACTGCAAGAATATGATTATTTTTGGTGCTAATGACTGAATGTCTAAAATACCACAAAAGCCTTTAATTATTATTCATATATTAAGTTTTGCTCTGAACCTTGCTTTTCCGTAATTTCACTGAATTTTTCATAGCCTTAATTATTATCTTTGAATTTAAGCTACACAGAATCAAGCAAATGATTAAAGCAAGGTTTACAAAATTCTTGAGCTAGATTTATTCAAATAACTAACACCGGAAAATTTTCAGAGGAAGATATGAAGTAGGGTGTACGAATGTCTTGATTCAGTGTAAACAAACTTGTACTACCATTTAAATATCGTATCAAATAAAAAACATCACCAGTCTCATCATCACCAGCTACTCCCACAACTTCACCACATTCACTGAACGATTCACAAGAATAAATTCTGAAACAAACAGCACTAAAAAACAACAAATTTACTTTTTAAATTGATAAGATATTTAGCTCCATGCTAGCATCTCAAATTCTCCTTTCAAAAATCTCCTTTTCATAATTAGAGATTCATTTTATTTTCTTTTTACCAAAATCAACTTTGTAATGCCAAAAAACTGCACACATTTATTTTCACGTTCTTTGCAAAAATGAAACAGAACTCGTTTACTCTTGATCAAACGATGATGTCAAACGATATGCGACTATCAAATAGTCTGATGCCACGATGATTAGAGCTTTACTTGGCATTATTGTAATGAATTTGGCAGTTAGCGTACTCAGAAAATGTTGATGAGTTCCATCTTCACGTATGCGAATGACTGAACTCTATAACAAGAAATTTTCGTAATTTTTAACTTAAATGACCTGCATAACTGCATAACGACAAATTTTAACTTTTTTAAAAAATGTAGAAAATATTACCTTGTTAGTTTTAGCTATATATAAAGAATTTAGCAATACATCATAAGCGAAAACACTGCTCTCTTGCTTTAGTACAGAATCAGCTGGAATAAAGCAGAATAGTTCATGAAATTACCAAATTTTATTTTGTATCTTCAAAATTGGATGCTTATCTGATAATCTCAAGTTTTTCCAGAATAATTGTATGGGTCAATCAACAATAACAAAATCATTTTCTTTTTTCAATAGATATATTAAAATCGAAACCCAAATTACACTTACGTAACGTAAAATTTTCAGTTGGATTTCCAAGTATATCATAATAATTGATAGCGTCTTTCGTTCCATTAAAAGCAATTACTAATGTTTCTAAAAACAAAAATCTTTTCGTTTGTCAAAAAATACAAATTTTATGCTTTCGAGAAAAAGTGTACTTATTCAAACATGAAATATTTTGCATTTTTGAAAGCAAAACGGTCAAAGTAAATATTTGATCCAGACTCACGTTTTTTTAAATTTTAAGAGATATTTTGTGAAATTATTTAAAAAAAAAATCACAGATAGTATGTTTTTTTTAGTGCGAAACTGATATATTCAAAGAAAGCAGTAATACCTGCTATTTTAAATACATATCAAAACTGATACCTGTAAATGGAGCAAATGCTGTATTGATAGCGTTAGCATATGGAGAACATATAGTACTGATGCATGCTCGAACAGATGCATGATACTCATAACCAGGTAAGACAGGAATGATAACATCTGTTTCATTTAAATCTTTTAATTCTATCGTCTTGCTTTCATCTCCATCACTGCCAATTATTCGGCATTCATATAACAAACGACGCCATTCACCTTGGGCTTAAATCTCAACTCATTTTTTACTGCAGAAGTTCGGCCAGCAAAGATTTAAATTTTTATATCTGATGAATCTGAATACTAACTGAATCTGCAGCTATGACAAAAAGCTACATTCATGTCAATCTATTTCGAATTTTAGTTGCAATTTTTCTGCATTACATTCCAAGATTATTTATTTAAATGCTCGTGATTTATGTAATCCTTGATATTTATGCTAATTCAGACTTGGAATAAATGAACTGATAAATTTATTTTTCAGAATCTTCTTGAAGTTTAAGATAAAAATACCTTGAAATGGAAACAATAGTGGCGGTTCCCATGCAATTCTGCCTGTGTTAGC